TTTTTTTTTTAATTTTTAATTTAATTAATTTGTTAAATCGTATTTTAATTTCATTAAAAAAGGGTCCAACGCCCTCGCATTCGATAATAATTCCAATTCGCGCATTTATTTCCTTTCTTATAATTTTTATGTAATTCTCCCAAAGCCGTGTAAATTAAACATTTATATTTCTCGCGTCTTTATTTTATGTTAAATCGGGTCCTGGATTTAATTTGGCGATGTGGACCCGAGCCTTTGTAATAGCGTAGGAACTTTATATTTCTCGCAACTTTTTAACTGCTAATAAATTGCATGCAAGAATGAATGATTAAATAAAAACAAAAGCGTAGATCGCCCATGACATGAACAAGATAAAATATCTGAAAACGACACACAAATCACACACCACCCCTAGGGTACGCCTCACTATTGCCTTGCCTCTCGAAAGGTGATCGTCGAGTAGAAGACATTTTAGTAAGTCCTCATGATCCGAGAACCTGGCATGAGGGTAGCTTCTAAGGTATCTTCCTATTGCTCTGGTGATCACCATGTCCCGAACCTCGAATTGACCCGAACACCTCCAACGGTGGTGCTACCTACCTCTCAATGGTGGGATGGCACTACTTTAAGGAAATCTACACAGACGAATTCCTTAGGGTAGGTAGACGACTCTAGATACTTGCTCTAATTTCAAACAAAAATTCAAAAATACTTTTCACACCGACACCTTTTCAAAAAGCTTTCGAAAGCAATTTTTCAAACACTCTTGAGGACTGATACAAGAGTCGAACTGAAATTTTCAAAGAAAATTTTTAAAACCCACATTGAAAAGCAAACAAACCATTTTTGAAAACACAATGAGCAAGTATCTAAGAGCCCATGGATAACCATGGATAGAAAGGGTGCTAACACCTTCCCTTTCTATAACCTACCTCCCGAACCGAGAGCAATCTCTTTAAGGAATTTTTCTGTGCTTTTGTCCTTTCCATTTGGAGAAAATAAAAGACGGTGGCGACTCTTGCTTCCGCGACAATTCGCGAACTAGCGTTAAACAGTCAGTTCCAGATCCACCGATCACAGATGCAGTGCTCCCAATCGAAGTGGAAATTCCTTATTTAAGGGTTTTGGTGGATACTAAGCTTGATGATGCTGAATGGATTCAAACAAGGGTCGATAAACTCAATCTAATTGAAGAGAAGTGCCTAGCATCCATTTGTTATGGTAAGTTATATCAACAGCGTCTCAAGAGAGCATTTGACAAGAAGATTTGACCTCGAGAGTTCCATACAAGTGACCTGGTCTTGAGGAATATCCTCCCAATTCACTCTGATCCAAGAGGCAAGTGGAATCCTAACTATGAGGGGCCATACATTATGAACAAAGCTTCCTCAGGAGGTGCTCTAATCCTGACAGACATGGATGGGGAAGACGTTCCACTTCTAGTCAATTCAGACTCATCAAAAAATACTACGCACAAAAAGACCCGCTAAGTCGAAAACCCGAAAGGGAGGCTTAGGCAAAAGTTAGGGCTAAAAAAAAGAAAGAAAAAAAAGTATAACCCGCTAAGTCGAAAACCCGAAAGGGAGGCTGGAAAAAATGGGTATCCCGGTGGATTGAAAACCCGAAAGGGCTATCCAGGAAAAAATTAGGGACTAAAAGCGAGAGAATATAGTCTGAAAACTCTTCACGAATAACAAGTATACACTCCTAACACTTGATGGATCAATTCAAATATTACCCTTCACAAGCAACGCACTAGGACGATCAAGGATATGGGAACTATAGCAATATCAATTTTAATGGAAGTTTGAGATTTTCTTATTGAGATTTTCTTATAGCAATACTTGAGTTATATTTTGTCTTTTCTTTGCGACATTCTCATTTAGGAGTTGTTTCCATGTACAAATTCCTATACACATGCCAATCTTATTAATAAAAGTTTCCCTTTCCACCAAATTTTTTTCTTTGTTATGTTCTTTTTACTTTATCTTTCGTATGTGAATTGTATGTAAATTCTTTATTAAGCATTGCATTAAAAACAATAAGGAAATAATAATCATAAGCTAAGATGTGAAACACGATGTTACATAGACATGAAAGCATCCCAAGGGAGGGCCATGACATTCAAACATTGTTTTTCTATTCAGGTAGCAAGTCGTAACGGTCACCCCGACCTAACTTTTGTCATTATAACCCCTTGTAGACGGTCGAGCACACGACTCTCTAACCTTGAGTAAACTTGGGGCATTTAAAGATATCCATGTCTCTACCCAACCATCCATAAGAAGTCCAGGATGTAGGGAAAGTGATATCAAGCTACTCCTTCCCAGCAAGACTACAAATCAACCCCTAACAAGGCTATAACTCAATTCTCGAGTTTTCAAGCACCAATCTGTATTGCTAACTCAAGGCAATGGACGGCGGACCCTGATGAGCCTAATATTTGGCACTCTGCATATAGTAATCATCATTGCATATTACATTGCATCCTCAAACGCGTAGCATATCCATTAAAATGGACCATTACGCCATACACTTCAAAATGCATGCGAAGTATAAGCCATATTTGGCACCTTGCACGAAAGCTCAAATCAATAGTCAAAAAAGTAAAACATCCCTACAGAGAATACCATCCTCATAATTCCCATTTGACATCCATCATTACACTACAAACCAAAATAAGCCATGGTGCTAGTACATTGTACTCCCAACTCTCAATACACTTTGTCAATCTTTACTTGAGTCGCAGACCGTCCATAGATCTTACCCTCATGTTTTCTTTTCTTGGGTCGCAGATCATCCATAGATCTTACCCTCATGATATCTTTTCTTGGGTTGCAATTCATCTTGAGATCCTACGCTCTCTTGTCATCTTGTGTGGGTCGCGGGTTATCCTGATTACTCCCCTCTCGATGTCCTTCCTTTGGTCGTGAATCCTACACGATAGATTCACCATTGTCGTTGATTTTACTCGTCGTCTTTACCTTTATTTTATGGTCATAAATCCGACACGATAGATTCTCCGTTATTGTCGATTTTACCCGTAGTCTTTACCTTTCTTTTTTGGGTCATGAATCCTACACGATAGGTTCTCTGTTGTCGTTGATTTTACCCATTGTCTTTACCTTTCTATTTAGGTCACGAATCCAACACGATAGATTCCACGTTGTCATTGAGTTTCACCCATTGTCTTTAAGTTATTATGCTGTCATTGATCCTACTTTCAGTCACCACGTCATCATCAACCATATTTTTTCAATCATAATAACACCCACTTCCCCGAGAACCTTGTATTGGCACCGTTACCCCATTACAAGGTATCATTATTCTACCATGTTTATCCATCACAACCAGTTCACCAGAAAACGAGTTTTCTTTCCCCAACAGATATCACAAATAAAAACCACTTACACCATCTCTTCAGGACAAATTTTAGGTTTTGGTATTTAATCTTCTTCTAGCTTAAATGATCAAAAGGCTGACGCCAATCTCACTTTCAGGTTTAAGACAATTAAATAGGGGCAACTGTTATACCACAAATTTGTCATACCCTTTTCACTTTTATCTGGCTTAGGCTTTGCATTTCATTTGCATCATTTTCATTAGGTCGTTCACACAAAATTCCTCCACTTCAATAAGGTATTGGTTCAAAGCATCAGTGGTTGTGCCAACTAGGGTTTAATTTTGGCTTGAGGCTTCTATATTCTACAATTGATTTACTTGGTTCCTCCTTGGGCAGTGGACAGTGGAATCAGATTTTGAATTATGGTTATCATGAGTTTCTTATTCATCCATGTACAAGGCCATTTCTCATTCAAATTCATCAAGATCTTGGATTAGAATTTATTTCCCTATGTGTGATTAAAAATCAGGGTTTTTTAGCATCATGCCTCAGCTAGGGTTTGAATCCCTCAAGTGTTCAGTATGGCTAATCATTGATTCTCAAAGGCTACTTCATGAAATCATTGGCTTTAACCAAAAACACAGTCAAGACTTCATCATCATTGGTCTACATGTGCCTCAATATGTTTGGGAATGCGAGGAAAGATCAAGTTTGCAAGTCAATTCAAAGCACTTCGATCAAAAGTCAACTTTTGCAAGATCAAGTTTAAACAATCATAACTTCTTCATTATTCAATATTTTTGAGTGTTTATTTTTGCGTACGACTCTCCTTGACGTCATCTCCAACTTCTCTTTACAAGTCAAGAGCTAATTATGTGCAGAAGATCATCAGAATTTCGAATACTTTAGAGGTCATTTTGCAAATTTGACCTAATCTCAAAATAGTTGTGCCCGACTTCCACGGATCATAATTTCCTCGATTTTTAATATTTTGAGGTGATTATCTTTTTATATTGTCATGAATGATGTCACCTACAAGTTTTCTTCAAGGATTAAGAGAAAACTGCGTTTAGAAGACCTTGAAAGTTATTGAATCGTCATAGGTCTTTTTTTTATTTAGGATGTTTCTTAACTTCTAATTTAAGTTTGTTCCGCAATTATTTTCTCAAGAAATTGATCTTTATGTGGAAATCATTCATGATACAAAGATGATATGGTGATCAAAGCATGATTATCATTCATTTTTATTGTCATCATCATCATCGTCAAGACAAAAAGGATAAACAAGATTCAAGATCCATCCATGGTTTTCAAACAATAGCTCATTCACTTTTCAATTTTATCATGAATTCACGAGCAAGTTTCATTCAAGTTATTCAAGCATCATTCAAGATTCGAGCCTTATTCATGTTTAAATTCTCAAAATTCAAGAAAAAAAGTGGTTTAATTTTCACTATAATCCAAGCAACTCCTTTCAAAGGGTCATCATCCAAACCATTCAAGTGGGAGATTTCAAGATTCATCAAGACAATATATAAGGATTCAAATGTCAAGTGATTCAAATGTCTTTCATTCATCCCAAGATTCATACAATTACAAAGAAATTGAAATAAAGTTACATTCAAGTCTAGTTTTCATAGTACTACAAGATTACATGGATGCTTTTTAAGCCTAAATTTCAATTTTCACATGTGCACTCTTCAAAATTTGAACCATCTTCATGCTTTGTATTCCATGGCAAGTTGCTGTCCAAAACTTGCATACCTTCTAAACAGCCTGCAACACGAACCACAAAACCTGCTGCAACTTGCACCAAACCGTCCAAACCTACAAAATCCTTCCCAAACCCGTCCACAAAACAACCCAAAATCAATCTCTGCTACAACCTTAATACACCAATCGATAACACAGCAAAAACATGCTTCCCTGCATCAAACATGTTGCTAATCTAGCCCTATGTAGAAAAAACCAAAAAACAGCCTACAACATAAGCCTAAAACCTGCAAAATCCTGCTACAAAAACAACCCAAATGCTTTACTTTCGAAGCAGTCTTATGCAGCCCTACATCACACTACAAAATAGTCAAAAACAAACAAAATACCGTTGACTCAAACCAGTATGAATACCTTCCCAAAACAACTTACAATACTGTCCAAAACCAGTCCAAATGCTGATGTTCAACCTGCTGCAACTTTACACAAATTCAGCAAAAACATAACCTGCATCCAAAAGCTACAAATCAATATACCAAAATATTTCAAAATTGTTCAAATTACCACAAAAAACTCACCTTATTCTTCTATATAAACCACCCTCTGTTCCTATAATTTAGACACCAACTACAAGCAGAAAAATACCAACAATACACAGAAAATATCCAAAAACACCGCATAAAACTCTTCTCAAACTTTTTCTCAAACAAACAGAAACATCCATAAAATTTTGCACACTTTAAACTTCCACATATATATCATCACAACCTCACATCAAGAACAAAATTTCTAACAATTCACTAACTAGAAGAAAACTATACACGAAATTATGCAGAAACAGAATCTTCCTCGATTACACTCAATAACCTCCATCACAACAGTTACATTCAGAAGCTCAATTACAATTTCAACAACCTTTAGCGTATCACTTCCGTTATAAGTTTCGACATCATCCACCTGTTCCAACAAAACAGAAGTAAATCATCAAAACAACAATGTGATTCATAACAACTTCGCACATGTTTACAATGACACGAGCAACAGAGAACTAGGCGACGAGAAGAAGAGCTTAACTCATGGAATCGTCTCTCTAACTTTCGGATCGATAATGTTGTCATAATACTTTGTTGTTGAATAAATAATCTCTCGAGTATTGTTTTCCATGTTATTACTTGTGAGTCACTTGTGGGCACATTCATATTATCATTGTTGTATCCTTGCATTGAAAATGTGTTGTCTGTCATTTCATTTGATAAATTAAGATTTTACATAAAATAAAAATAGTGTCGTTTGTTTATTTACCATAAACATGAGAGAAACCATTAGCATAGGAAAGATTGAAAGTGAGTACATGGTTGTTGGAACTAAACTATGAGACCATGAAGAGGTAGAGAAAACCGCATGAGAGTCTCATTATTTTGTTATAAACCGATACAGAGCGACGAAACCATGAACCTAAAAGGAGATTAGGCGTGAGCATTTGGGAAATTGAAAGATATTTCATAAAACTGGAACAGGGGAGATTTTGAGTGTAGAAATCGGTTGTTGGAAACATGGACCATCGATTGAAATAAATAAGGGAAGTCGCAAACATGAAATTAAAACCACCGCGCCGGAAGAGTTACCGATCTGTTTAAAGTTCGTTTTCCCCCTTTGCTCATGTTGATTGAAAATAGAGTTTATTGATAATGATGTTTTGTTGGAATGGATCTCGTTTTTTCTTCTATTTGGTGTGTGTTGTACCCCAAAATTTGCCCTCCCATATTCTTCAAGATTTGCAAAGAGCATGCTTCAAAATCTCCCTAAGGGTTGCACAGTTCAAGGGCCTCCTAACAGTCAAAAACTAGGGTTTTGGTTCTGACAAAGAAAATGAAGTTTCCAAGGGCCCAAACAAGTCCCACATGCCTACAAACATGGTCAAGCATCCTCGTGCCAATTTTCAAGACTTACAGCACAAAATTGCACAGTCAAAAACCCTAATTGCTCAACAGTCAATTGTAGGGGTAAAATGGTCATTTGACAGTCAAAAGTTCAAATTTTTGGTCAACATCTCATTTTGAAGCCACAAACATCATTTGATCAATTCTTGATCATGATTTTCAAGGTATGGCTCAAAAAGTCTCAAGATGCAAAAGTTTCCATATTTGGACAGTTGAAAAAGTCAACTGTAACTTGACCAAGGCATAACTTCCACATGGTTCATCAGAAAAATTCCATCCAAAGCTCATTTTGAAGAGAAAGACATTTCCTACAACTCATCTTCACACTTCAAGTCCAATAAATGCTCTCACAAAATGTTATCAATTTCAACATTATAGGTCATTTTCAAAAGTCAACAAAAAGGGACTTTAAGTCAAAGACCATAACTTGAGATTGGTAAATCAAAATGACATGGGACCAAAGGCATTGAGTAGAGGACTTCAAGATCTTTCCAAAATGTCCAAGAACATGATCAAAGCTTAAAAATTGAGCAAGACATGCCTTGTGGAAGTTGGGAAATTTTTGGGAATTTTGAAAAGTCAACTTTACTTCAAATGCCTCAAATTTGCTAATGGGCCACATTTTCTTCCAAGATTCATCATCCAAAGGCTATCCACGACCATTTGGCCCAAAGAGGATTTATTTCATCATTTTTATTATTTATTTGAATTTTTAATTACTATTAATTCATTTAATTAAATAAAATATGAAAAAAATACTAAACAAATGTATTTGAATCTTTTTATACAGCATTTGCTCTCCTTAAAGACTCAAGATTCGTGCACAACAAAATTGGAAAGATTGGCCATGATTGGGATCAAAATCACATGGAAAAGATTTGAAAAAATATTCATGGAAAATCAAATATTCCATACATCAATGCAAGGATCTCTTGACTCAAATTCCAACCCTAATCCATTGGCATACATATACTGATCATAAACCTAATGCCAAAGACCTGAATGCTGCGCCTCAGATCAAAGACAACTTTGCATATTTTTCCAAATTTTCAAAAACTGAAAACTGCATTCTAGTACGTTTCTAAGCAAGATAACTATTCCATTGCATTCCTGAGGCCTCAAGAAACGTTTCTGGATCAAAATCGCTGCTTCTAACGCAAAGAACTGGTAGAACCATGTCTCACTTTTCATGAAAATATTCATAATCGCATCTTGAATTCCCTACATCTTTCATGTGTTTTTGATATTGATTTATACTAATATTCACTTCCTGAAACTAATGGTATACTTTGATTGAGTTTTCATGCCTGGTATGTGAATTCACCATTGAAGCTTGCTAGGGTTTTGTAACTGTAAATTTGGGGCTTTCCTCTTCAGGAAAAATTGAGACACGAAACCCACGCCATTGGAACCAGAAGCTTATGACTAATTGATTCCATACCTCGCGCCTAATTTATGAACCACGATGGTCTGTTCGCTATTTTTATGTTCATCATTTAGTGGGGGTTTAAAACCCCCGCTATCTAATTTGTTTTTTCAGGCAAAAGTGAAGAACAAGTGGAGAAGACGAGGCGTGGAGGCTGGGGATTGGTGCGTTTGAATTTCGCGCGAAATGTCCCACTAACCATTGTTTTACATTATATTGATTATTTGTCATATTATACACAAAGCGCGTTAACAGCTCAGTTGGAAGGCACATGGTTTGGTAAGCAACGGGACCTGGGTTCGATTCCCATGTCCCCTTCTTTCTCCATAATATTTTTCTCTTCATGTTTACGTGTAGCGTTCCCCTCAGAAGTCTACCATACGCCCACCATCCAAGCGTGCCACCTGTCTCAGAACATCCACCCAGTGGCCAGGATTCAAGGTCTATGGAATGTCTCAGTCAATGCATACACACATGATCATGGAAAAGTCAGAAAGGGCCAAAATTCATTGGGCCTGATTGCTACAATATGACCTCCAAATTGGGGTCAACACCCCCAAGGGTTTGCATTTCTTTTCTTTTTTCCTATTTTATTTTTATTTGCTTTAATTTGATTATTTCCTTTTAATTCATAAATTAATATTTTCATAATATAAAAATAATAAAAAAATCAGAAAAGACAAAAAATATAAAAATATTTTATTTAAATGTTTTTTTTGTAAATAAATCTTATTAATTAATTTAGCTTTTTTAAATCTAGGTTTAATTCTAATATTTTTCTTAATAAACTAAAAAAATGTAGAATTAGGGTTTTAAGTATTTTTTATTCTTTTTCTTTTCTTTTTCACCATATTAATTATTAATTATTATTTTTGTAAATAAATTGCCATATAAATAATTAGGTTAATTTTAGGTTCAATTTTAACATGTTTTTTTAATAAATTAAAAAATAGTTAGAATTAGGTTTTAATTCTATTAATTCTCATTAAAATCCATAAATACAAAACACTCCAAAAAAACAATTTCTTTCTTTTATTTAACTTGATTAATTTATTAATTATAATTTAATTTCCTAAAAAAGGGTCCAACGCCCTCGCATTCCCGACTTTGCCTCTTCGCGCATTTTATTCTTATTTCTTTTTTTGTGAATATAAATGTAATTTCCCAAAAGCCATGTAATAGATTGATTAGATATTTATTTTCCGCTTTAATTTTATTTCAAATCGGGTCCTGGATTATTTTGGCGATGTGGACCCGCGCCTTTGTAATAGCGTAGGACTTTTAATTCCGCATCTTTTTAACTGTTAATTAATTTGCATGAAAGAATGAATGTCAAAAATAAAAGCAACGCGTAGATCACCAATGCATGAACAAGACAAAAATAAATGAACATGACACACAAATCACACACCACCCCTAGGGTACGCCTCACTGTTGCCTTGCCCCTCGAAAGGTGATTGTCAAGTAGAGGACGTTTTAGTAAGTCCTCATGTCCATAAACATGGCATGAGGGTAGCTTCTAAGGTGTCTTCCTATTGCTCCGGTGATTACCATGTCCCGAACCCTCGAATTGACCCGAACACCTCCAACGGTGGTGCGACCTACCTCTCAATGGTGGGATGGCACTACTTTAAGGACATTTACACAGACGAATTCCTTAGGGTAGGTAGACGACTCTAGATACTTGCTCTTGCAGTGATTCTTCTAGTAAAAATCCCTCTTTATATCCTTTGATCTCTGAATTCTAATCCTTTTATTCTTCGCTCTGTTTTGCAGGTACAAAGATGGTGATGAAGGCGCAACAAGGTTTGGAGGTTGGAGTTTTAATGCCAAATTCCTAATCTCCTTCTCCTGATTCTTCTTCCAATTCCGGTCCCTGATTCTGTTTAGGTCTAGGTTTTAAATAGGTTATAAATAGAATGAATTAGGAAGTTATTTAAGTCTGATTTTTTGTTACAAATTAGATTGGAATTAGATTGATTCAAATTGCAAATTAGAATTAGATTTGATTTAGAAATAGAATTAGAGTTTGTAATTGTAATGAATCTGGATGGACTTGTATATAGTTTCCAAAATCAATAAAAACTATTTCAATCTTTCAGATTTGATTTTCATTTACCAATTTCTAGATTTGGGCTTTTGTTTGCTTAAGAGTGAAGAACAAAGGGTGCAACAGTTCTTAGGGTTTCTTACCCTAGTTGACTTCAGTCAACATTGTAGTAATAAATAACAAAACAAAAATAATAATAATAAAACCATAATGAATAATAGTAATCAATAAAGAAAAAATAAAATAAAATTTGTTTACCAAAGACGTTGACTTTCAGTCAACCAGACTTAATAATAAAATAAAATTTTAAATAAACAAACACACCCAAAATGTTGACCTCCTGGTCAACCACATCAAAATAAAAAAATAATATTAATTTTCAAAAGGTTTTTAAATAACACCTTTTATCCAAATATTTATTTAGACAAAAATGTGTTTATAAACTCAATTATAATCCACTAAATCATTACCTCTATAAATGAACATGGGTTTAAAAGTTTTTTTTATAAAAATGAATTAGTAAAACAAAAATGATAAATTATTATATCAAATGAAATACTTGAAAATAAATTGATATATATATATATATATATATATATATATATATATATATATATATATATATATATATATATATATATATGAAAAACTATATGTTAACAATATATAAGAACCCAAGTTTAAAAATAATTGTACTGTTAGGAATATGACATTTAAAGTTGGGGTATGACAATTACCTCTTGTTTTACGCTTCAGCTTATGGATTACCTCAACGACGATAAGAGAATTATCCAGAATAGATCTACCTTCTACAAACGCAGATTGCTCTTCTGAAACACACTTAGACAAGAACTTCTTAAGTCTGTTAGCAAGAAGTTTCAATATCATCTCGTACACCACATTGCAAAGAGAAATCAGTCTTATGTCTTTCATATTA